ATGCAAGGAAAACGACCGAAACCGGCAAGTTCTATACTATTGAACCAAAGATAATTCCGTGTTAGCTAACATCCAAGTGCCCACAAATGCTTCCTCGGACCAGGCCAGTTATTAGATCAGATTACTATATATGGTATTCTGCGAGCCAAAGGCAAAACCTCCTTTTGCGATCCTAAGCTGCTGCTGCCTCCCTAAAATGTAGCCGCGAGGCTGCCTGCTCGGCCCTGTGTATAGGGAGAAATCCCAGGCTTGTCTGCCTCTGACAAAATGGCGGCCGTCCCAGGTCACGTGGGCAGAAGAAAATGGCGGCCGCCGGCGACCCGTAGCCTAGCAACGGTGCCGCTTTGCTCTGTTAACAGGCTAGGCCAATAGTTTCCACGACGGAGGACAAGCCCCCTCCAGGGAGCCTAAAAGCCAGGGAAATTTTCTTTGTATAGCCCGATCCGGCCGTCCCCCGGTCGGCAAAAAACCCCCCGCTGCAGCTAAACCAAACTGTACGCCCCCTTGGAGACCCCGGAAAATGAGCGCCCCCCTTTTGATACCTGCCACCCGGTCTGAAGGATGTAACGAGCACTCCCCTAGAGCCCAGGAGCCCTCAATTCAATACCGCTTAGTGCCCGGCAGCGCTCCCCCACAACCCCGAGGCACCCCCACCGCTGTAGCGGCGCCCGCAGCGCGTATAAACGGCGCAGAGAAACCCCCTGGGAAAACCTGTGTGTTGCGGCGTCGAGGAGCGAGGGTGACGAGTCCGGGAACGCTGGGAGGCAACCGGCGTCAGCTGCGGCAAGCTCCGCTGATGAATAGCCGCTGGTAGGCTGCGGAACTGCTGTCGGCACTCCGGTCCGGACTGGCGGCAGCTCCCTCGGCGCAGACGGCTATCCTCCAAACCAGGAAGTACTCCCCTCGCGTCGATGCGGAACAAAGCTCCCGATCTAAGGAGGGTGAGCTCCAGGAAGGGTGAGCAGAACGCTCCGCAAAAGAAAATGCAAAAGCAAATGCAGCGGCAACGGAAAAATGTAGGCAGGCAAAAGAAAAATGCAGGCAGGCAATGCGGGCCCTAGCCGAACAAAAGAAAATTAAAAGCCCGATCACGGCGCCGAAAAAAAAAGAGCTAAACCGCGAGGTCTCCCAGGGTGAAAAGGGGCGAGCCCAGGGCTGCCCCGACCTTAAGTGGCCTTACTAAGGCCCGCCCCTGCCGCCAGCCGATTGGCTGGCGCCACGGGGATGCTAATTAAGGGAATCCCTGTGCCTCCCGCGAGGCTGGCGCCAGCCTCGCGGGAGCGAGTGTGGGCGGGGTCGTGATCCCGCAACCCCCCCTCCTCCTGAAGATCAGAAGGGGCATAATATGCAATTCTTAAACCAGGATTGGGGAACCTCCAGCAGCAAGAGACCCCATGACAAAAAGGGCTATTTCTGGTTGCTTTTGTTAAGTATAGTTGTTTAACTGATGCTGAAATGGGAATGCCTATGTGTGTGTAAACAAAGGTTTAACATGGGGAATGGTGAGATGTGTATTGCTAACATTGTGGTTTTTCCACAGTAGTTTTCTAAGTGGTCTCTGAATTTCTTAATGGGTTGATAATTAACTAACTGTTGGTTGTTCTCTTAAACTGAATGCAACCTTTGATCATGTGATGAGGCTATTGAGTTGCCAATTCACCATCTTGGAAGGGTGGTGGCCGGATTCTTTGCTCTCCAAGGGCACACAGTCTTGGGGGCTGGAATGCAGGCCATGAAGCCTGTGTGTGAGAAACAGAGCTGTGATTGTCAGCTTTGATTATAAGTTTGTTTAATTTCTAAGATGTTGAGCCTGTGCTGGACAGCACAAGATATTGTATGGATACTGTGGACGTATCGTTTATGCTTTTGTTCTGTTTTTGAAGAATGTTCTGCAAGTAAACTTTGAATAATATTTTAATGGGTCTCGACAATGTTTCATTCCAAAAGAACCCAATTTTTTATGCATCCAGTTGTTTCAAACTGCACAGTATTAATATCTGCAATAGTTTTGCCCAGGTTTCTAAGCTGTGGTAGGAAGCCATTTAAACCAATTTTGGCATTGTCTCTCCAGAAGCGTCTCAGGAGCAAATGTTTTGACCAAAAAGGAAATGAACCTTAACAGGACTCCCTGTTCATAGCAACTGTTGAATGGACAGGTGTGTGCACAGCATGAGCTATAAGGATTTAACCCACCAGAGAAGGTGACAATGGCTGGGTTGAAAAGAGGTGCTGAGGGACATGACAGAAGACCTGAAATCTATAGAATAAAATATTGCCTTTATAAAAAAACAACCCAAAACCCCAATGAGGCAACTTGTCCACTTGGACAGGATACCAAGCACGTTTAGCTACACAATATTTATTTAAGATCTACACTGAAACTAAATACTGCAGTTTTGCCAATAGGAGGTTTATTTCTCTTCTCCACGCTCTCCCACATCACAATCAGCACTGTGTACAGCCAGGCTTTACTGTAGGCCAGGTGTGGAGAGCCTTTGGTCCTCCAGTCCTTGCTGAACTACAACTCCTTCGGCCATTGACCATGCATATTGAGGCTGATGGACTTTGAAATTCAACAATGTTTAGAGGGTCAAAGGTACTCCATCCCTGCTGTAGACCAACAGAACTGGTCTTCCCTAAGCTTCCCGGGGGAGGATTAGATACATCAGACAAGAAACTAGAAACAAATTAAAAGGGAAGAGGCAGAATTGCTGATATTCTGCACATGTGACCAAATGCGTTAAAATCTGTAACTTTTCAAAATAGCAAATGCCCACCCACAGTGTCAGTGACTGGAAGGTGAGGATGAACACAATTCAGAGAACTATGAATTTTGAAGGAAATTGGTTTGGGAAGTGCAAATTGGGTGGATTAGAGCTCCTGTCTAACACCCTTATTACAGAATATCATCTTACCTTCGTGCCTCTCCAAAATGTTCCTGCTTGATTGTTTCCTGCATGGCACTGCCTTATAGGAAGGTGTGCATCAGGAGTTGGATTAGTTAAGGCAGTTCTCTAATGCAAAATGTGGGGAAATCATACAGAAGGTTCCTAGAGACTGTCAGTGACTTCAGGAGAAAACCTGTATTTCAAATGAGGGCAGCTGATGGAATGTTGCTCTACGCAGTTTAGGAAAGCTCCACAACCAAAGCAGGGTCTTCATAGTCAAATGTCTAATGGCTTCTTCCTTGAAGTTGAAATCTGGAACCATGTAGCTTTTCCAAGCTGTGAAATGTCCAGGTCTGAATATCATCCAGAACTAATTATAGACTTTGCATGGGCACAGACACAATGAGCCATTGTAGTATTGGTTGGAAATGGACATCTTAGCTGGTTATTTTTGCCCATTATAGTCTCAATTAGGAAGAGTTTGGAAGGAATTAATCGTGCCTGGCATCTTCCAGTGAAGTCCCTGGATGTTAGTATAGCATAGGGATGGGAGCTAGTTTACTCAGTGCTATTTTTCTAGAAAATGAGGTGCTGGAACTCACTATAAACACCTCCCTTGTTCTCTTATAATGGCAATGGCGCCCACCTGAGAGGTGCCAGAACTGAGTTCTGGTGAGTTCTGGCTGGGGAAAAAAGCCCTGAGCTTACTCTTAGTTAAAAAGCCCTTTGTGTCTAGCTCTATAGATCTTGCTTTCTGGAGCCTCACATAGATGCCCTTCCAAGTTTGTTCATGCAGGTCCTTTAACTATAGATATTGGAGATATTTTGCATGCAATGCTAGTACACTGTCACTAAGTGCTGGTTCTTCAACCACCTTGACATAAGCGCTACCAAGCAAATCTATAAAGCTTTCAAAGCAACCATTCTTTCTATTCTTATCAAAAGAAGATAAACAACAGATTGGGTTTTGCTTTCTCCCCCTATAACTTGCCAAAGCTCTGGGGGTCAGTAAGACAATGAAGAGTGTGGATACACTCCATAGGGATTGCTTTCATCTCTTCGGAGTTTACCTCTGGATCATTATCAGTTTGTTGCTAGTTACCTCATCATCTTGGCTCTCGAGAGGTTAATTTAGGAAAATTGCAAGAACTTTCCAGCAACAAAGGAGCATAACTTGCCAAACATCATTCTGGCCTGCAGCCAATACCAGGTGCATTCTAAAGTTTGGATGGCATATATATTTATGGTATAATAAAGGGAAGGTACATAAAGGATTTCATAATCATATAATTAGGAGATCATTAATTAAAGTATGGGAAAGATATGAAGACCTATTAGAACAAAAAAATGCCATGGTGAGTGGCCCCAACAGAAATAATTTCAATTAAAAGGACAAATATAGAAGGAAAATGGCCTACTTATCGAGAGCTTTTTGTAGAAAGAGAAGGCAAATTAAAACTTAAGGATTATGATCAGATAAGAGAATATGTTTATGATTGGCTGCAACATTGTCAGTTACCGTAAATGTGGTTTTTAAAGAAGACAAAAATAAATGATTTGGCTATACCATATCTAGATTCCAAAGAGAAATTGTAGATGATAATAATAAACTCTTAAAGAAAATGTATAATCTATTGTTAGAATGGGAGACCAAAGATGAAGAGGTTAATCTGTAATGATTAAATGGGCACAAGATATAGGATACAAATGGAAGACTGGGAAAAACTATGGAAAGTAAATTTAAAATTTAAAATTTACTGACTGTTTTTGTTAAAAGAGAATTATATGAAGATGATGTACCGATGGTATATTACCACCTGTAAAAATGGCAAAGATGTATAGCACAAGCTCTAATAAGTGTTGGAAATGTAAAGAAAAGGAAGGTACATTTTTTTCATAAGTGGTGGAATTGTAAAATAATTAAAAACTACTGGAAAATTGTGTTAAATATTAAATAAAATCCAATAAAAACCCTTGAAAAAAAGGAGCATTCTAAAGTTTGGTGTAGATACCTGTGTTTCAGGCAAACATCACAAAACACATTACATTTAAAAGAGAGAGAGAGAATAAATAACAATTATATAATACGATGGTAAAGACATGATTCCAACTAGGAATTTCTTCTGCTTCTTCTTCTTTTGAAAGCCAGTTCTTTTCTCTGCTTAAGGCAGGTGAGTTTTTAAGAAACCCTCTGATGCTAGTCTGGAATGAGGACCCACCTCAATTGGAACACCAGTAGCTAAATAGTAGGCAGCTCTTCGTGCAACTCTTACCACCACCACCCCAAGCCCTGCTCCTCCCCTCAGGTCCTTGAATGATCCTGTCATTGCTAAATATCGGAGATCAAGAGATACTTTTTATCAGATTTTCTGAGGTCCTATAAATCTATGAGCTTCAGTGAGTTCCCTCACTCCGTCCTGTTCGTCCTTCAACATCATAGATTTGTTTGGACAACCGCCGTTTGCTAAACACAATGCTGCCTCTCAAGACCACTCAGGTCTTGTGTTTATCAGCTCTATCCTGAAGACTTTAGCCACTGCGGCATGGACATCCTTATTCCGCAATGTGTAGATGATCGGGTTGAGGAGAGGGGTGATGACAACATAAAAGATGGAAACGTGTTTGTCATGGCTGGGGTCTGTCCCTGACCGAGGCCTCATGTACAGGCCAATGAGGCAGCCATAAAACATGGTGACCACCATCAGGTGGGAAGCACACGTGGAGAAAGCCTTGCTCCGGCTCTCCCCTGAGCTCATGCGCACGACAGTCGCCATGATGAGTCCGTAAGAGATCAAGATGGTGGCCAGAGGGACAATTAGTATGAAAACCCCCACCCCCAAGATGATGGCCTCTGTGAAGCTCGTGTCGGTGCATCCCAGCCTTATCACCATGACAAACTCGCAGTTGAAATGGTTGATCTCATTGGGGCCGCAGAAAGGGAGCTGCATGATAAAAGCTGTGATGAGCCCAGAGAGAAGGAAGGCTCCTACCCACGAGATGGCAGCCAGCATCAAACAACGTGCCCAGCTCATGGCTACAGCGTACACCAGGGGGCAGCAGATCGCCATGTAACGGTCGTAGGCCATGGCCCCCAGCAAGAGGCCTTCAGTGCAACCCAGAGAGCAGGCCATGTACATCTGGAAGGCGCAGCGCCCAAACGAAAGCCTCCCATCCCCGACAAGCAGGTGAGCCAACATCTGGGGCACGACGGTGCTGGTGAAGCACATCTCCAAGAGTGAGAGGTTGGTGAGGAAGAAGTACATTGGGGTATGGAGGCGGAAGTCCATTTGGACCAGTAGGATGATGAGGAGGTTGCTCGCCATGGAGATCAGATAGGCAACGAGGATAATCACAAAGAGGGCAAGCTGTGTTCTCCGGTGGCTGGTGAGTCCCACCAGGTAGACCTGGGTGATCATGGTGTAGTTCCCAGGCACTGTTCTGTCTTGCATCCTGCAGAGAAAAGAGGAACGGGGAGGGTTAACAAACAAGTTCCCAGATGCCATAACTGGACAGGATTGGCTGGTATATTTGTCTTGTATTTGGTTGATTTTGCCCCTCCACGTTCCACCAGCTTTGAGGGCAGCCTTCCTCCATGGCAGGACTCCAAGTGTGCTGTTAAAGGACAAGAAAAATGACTCCCACAAAGTAGGAGGCCAGTTGGATATCAAATACTTGGGTCACCTCCAGACTGTCAGTATTTTGCAAAAGGGATTCAAACACATACGGGAAAATTTTGTTGCTCTAAAGCAACAAAATCTACTTTACAAAATAAAATTAGATTTTTTGTGATTAGGAAAGTGAAGAAGAAATGCGCTGAAAATTATACATGGCATGAATGAAGTGGGTATAGAAAAGTTTTTCTCCATCTTTCATAACTCTAGATCCAAGGAAGCTAAATGTTGGAAGATCCAGGACAGATAAAAGTACTTCTTCATGCAATGCATAGGGCTCATCTACACTTCTGCTTGTCCTTAGTGGTTTTTCATTTGTCCCATGCTTTGGGACCCTGGGTCGAGCGGTTTCCATTTGCCCTGCTGCGTCCCCATGGGAAACCCACTATTTAGCACTAAATTGGAGCAAAAATCAGTCTGGAGCAAAACCCACTTGACAGTGGTAAACAGTAGGCTTTCCCAGGGTTAAGTGTAGACAAGCCCTTAGTTAAACAGGAGGCATGACAGCTTGCAGTGAAATTTGAAATTCCACAGAAACCACTCAGCATCGGAAGTTAGGGCTTTTATGATGTGTGTAAAATTTGAAAAGCGACCTTTTTGCCCCCAAATCCATGACCATTCGTGGTTCCAATAGGGCAGATCATTTAATCAAGCTGAGATAAAAATATGGGCTTTTATAGTTAACAGAAGTTACAGGGACATGGGAAGCTGTGTTACACCGAATCAGAGTTTGGGTCCATCTAGGGACTCAGTGCTGCCTGCAGTGACTGACAGCAGCTCTCCTGCCCAAAAGAGGTGGGAATGAGCCGGGGACCTTCTGCATGCAAAGCACATGGAGTCATGGTCCTTCTCCATAAGGGAAGGTTCTTCATCCATGATGTGAATCTAGCATTTCCAGGTTTTGCAGCTTCTATGGCAGACAAACAAATCAGTTAAACTCAACTGAAATCAGTTAAAGTCAACTTCCTTACCATGTTAATTCAGAGCAGCAGGAGAAAGCCAGAGGCATTCGTTGCTTGTTGGCTTTAAATTGCAGAACTGCTCCAGAACAAGGAAGCCATGAATGTTTAGTTGACGTCATGGGAGCTAGCCCAACAGTGCCCTTCATAGGATATGCTGCAAACTTGTAGGGCTGTGGGGTATTTTCCCTGTCCCTGCCGCCCCCACCCCCTGATGCTCATTTCTAGAGTTCGGTTCTACTGGGGAGGAAAAGGTATTGTTGTAAGACTGGGCATCTGGACAGCAGAGGCATAACACAGCCAGATGGAACTTCGTTAATTGTATGTTGCCAAGTTGCCAAGTACATCTGTTGCTAAGGAAGCTGCTGGTGATTGATCTCAATAGCAAGGACTTCCCCAAATCTCCTGAATGGGACATAAAGGCATATGTTCCTCTTTCAAGTATGACATAGTCGAAAGGGTGGCATAATCTAGGTCTCTCTCTCTCTCTTTAAAGAAACAGCTGTTTGAATGGGGAAGTGAGACTGAGGGCATTCCCAGGCCATTGCCGTTTCTGGCAAATTCAGGTTGCTCACATAAAGATGATTTATCACCAGTGCAACAAAGCTGCTTCACTGCAAAACGGACTTTTTGCAAACAGGGAAGTGAAGGGAGAAACATGTGGTTTCTTGATACAAACTTCCCGCAGACAAGGCAGATCAAATGCTCAATAAATAGCTGTTGCCATTTAACCTCCCCGCAAACTTTGTGCAAACAAATCAGGACAAATGCTCAACAGGCCAAGTGGAAGCAACCCGGGAGAAATTCATTTAAGGCTCTGTAACCTTTGGAAAGTGTATTTAGGAGTGTTGACTGCTTCTCTAGTTGGGATGTGCTGTTGGACAGTTCAAGCTGTAAATAAGTTCACTCTGTAAATAAACACAATCATTACTCAATCCCATAAGCCTTCAGTGATCTATTTTCACAGGAAACCTAACCTGTTCTAAGCAATGGACCTCTGGAACTTCTTGTTCCTCAGGGACCTAGGGGTGAGCCTAAGAGCATGTTTAATCAAACTGGGAACAACTTCTAGGGTGATCCTTTAACTTAGGGATAGCCTAAGCCTGGAGGTGTTATGCCCTCCAGATGTTGTCGAGACTACAACTCCCATCAGCCCCAGCCAGCATGGCCAGTGGTCAGGAATGGTGGGAGCTGTGGTCCAACAATATCAGGAGGCACCATGTTGGCTTTCTCTGCCTCAGGTATTGTGTGGCTTCCTCCCTGTATAACCCTGTCTTGGATAGTAAGACTTGCAGGGAGTAAGCCGTAACCAAAGGATGCTTCAATAGCAACTGTCTGGATTGAGTGTGGATTTCTGGTACACATTAAAGACCTGATTTACAGATCCTAGTTCCTCCTAGATCCCATTGTAAAGGGATCACGTGAGTCTCACAAACCACACATATGGAGGGCTGGTGTGGTGCACAGCAGTATGGAGGAGGGGGATAGACCCAAGAAGATTCTACTCTCCACATTTTACACTCAGTAAGAATCCCATCAGATGTTGCTTGAAATGAGACCTTCAGGGAATCCTTCCAACTTTTGACTTGCATTTCCTTCACTGATGTGACGAAGATCTGCAGTCTGATTTACATGCAAAAGGTCCCTGGGTTCAATCCCCTGTGGTGGTTCGAAAATTACCACCATGTAGATATAGGGTAAATGACTTAGAAATCTGTTCCCAAGTGCATATTGGGGTTAAAAATGAGTCTGAAAAGGTTGAAGACGCCTGCTCTCAGGTGCACACCCTCTTCATGCCAGGCACACTGAGCAGACCCATTCGGACCTCACCGCTACCCTTTTCCACCCATGACCTGAGAGTATAACCAAGAATGCACATGACACATTGCAAGGTGAAGATCAGCAGCTTTGTTGGGAAATCTCATTTTCAGGTAACCTCATCTGCTGTTGACAGATGTTCCCATTAATAGATACACACACACCTCACAAAGCTTCTCAAGAACTGCAGGGTTCTTCCAGCACACAGTTTGAAAAGCTGCCACTTCAGATCAATCCCAGTTCGTGGCGAGACAATTGCATCCCTCACACTAGAGAGAAAAACTCGTGAGATGTGTCTTCTCACCCATGATGGAGATACAACGGACTCAACAGTTTGAAATGCTCTAAAGAAGGATGGGCTGGAATCCTCAAAGGTGGTGCCTTACGAAGCACATTTCCCCCCTTGGAATTCTGCTAATGGAATTGTTGCTCTGTGAGGTGTAAACTGTGGCGCCCAGAATTCTTTAAGGTATAGTGGTTGCACAGCCCTGGACATTAGCCATAAAGCTAATTTTACTTTTAACCATTTTTGCGAGAAGGGTGGCATAGAAGAGAAGCAGACATATAACAGAGAGAGGTGATCAAATGTAAGGATCAAGAGGCAGTCACTGCACTGTTTTATTTCATTCAAGTTCTGCGTTCGGATCAGCCCACCTGAGACCACCACACCTTGCACCTTGGAGAATGTCGCCGAGCACTGCTAGGATTCACTAAGCTTCAAGCTCCTTCAAGATATCTCTCTGATGAGTTCTTAAAGCTTTCTAATGGGATGGAGACCACCGTCTGCTTCCAGTCATGGATTCTACTGGCCCATTGTTGACCCATAAATTTAGAACAGAATGAATGCTTTCTTTCCATGGCTCCTTGCCTAATGTATTACTCTCATCTATTTAAGAGCTCGGTGCAATAATAAACTTTCTAGTTCTGCTCCGTGCTGGATCCATCAACTTGCCCCTAAAGACCATTCCCCTATTTCCATCTGGATTATAAACAACTAATTATTGCACTTAATCCCCCTGTGTGTGACTTCTGCCTTTGTCATTTGGGAATGGTGCTTTTTATGCTCAGAACATATTTGAAAGATGATGCATCTGTGGCAAAGATTAGATGCACCCATGGCCAAAGAAGCTTAATTAGCCATGAGTAGGGATAGTGGAGAATTTTGATTCAGCTCACGCTGAAGGCAAACCTACCAAATCTGCGTTTTCTGAAACAATATGCAAACCAAAACACAGCCACCCGTCAGAATTTTCAAGCCTCCAAATTTTACAGGTGCAGGTCTGAAGCCAAGTATTGTGTACAAAATGGCAGCTATTGTGGTAAAGTGTGCATAAAAATGCATGTACTGTATATAATTAAAAACCACATAAAATTAAAATTGAAGACCATCAATTAAGCATTATAGAAATATGTTTTCTTTTTTCCTTTTTAATATATATTTTTATTAAGTTTTCTATTTTATATTTTAGAATATCCATTTAAACAACCTTAAAATATCAGTGACTTCCCTTCTCTTCTTTCCATGGTTCATTTTGCATACCATAAATCCCTGCATATTTTACATAAACTAAACCATTCAGTATTCCATTATTACATCCATTAAAACTTATTTACACTGTGGAATTTATCTTAATGCTGCCAACGTTTTCAAATGTACACAATTTTCACCCATATATTCAATAAACATTTTCCAATCTTCTCTAAACCTATGTTCTTCTTGTTTTCTTATTCTATATGTTAAGACTGCAAGCTGCGCATATTCCATCAGCTTAAGTTGCCATTCTTTGTTAGTTGGGACGTTGCTTGTTTTCCATTCTTGGGCTAACAAAACACGGACCGCAGTAGTGGCATACGTAAATAATCTTTTTTGACACCTGAGAATTTCCATCTGAATTATCCCCAACAAAAAGGACTCTGGTTTTCTTGGGAAACAACTTTTAAACATATTTTTTTTTAATTCATTATAAATTATTTCCCAATACTCTTTTACAAGTCCACCACATATGACAGAATGTACCCTCAGCCTCGTTGCATCTCCAGCAATTATCTGATTCAGTCTTATACATTTTAACAAGTCTACTCAGAGCTAAATACCATCTGTAAATCATTTTCAGGTATGTTTTCTTAATCGCCTGCATTTAATTCCACACTCGTCTAAAGGCTGAAACGGAAGGGCCCTCCTGAAAAACAGAATAATGCAGGAAGGTATGGGGAAAATATTTTAAATGGAGAGTGGGGTGAGAAAGAGAGAAAAACACAGTCACCGCTTTCATGGCTATGCTATAACCTCGGGTTATATACGCTTCAGGTTACATACGCTTCAGGTTACAGACTCTGCTAACCCAGAAATAGTACCTCAGGTTAAGAACTTTGCTTCAGGATGAGAACAGAAATTGTGCAGCAGCGGTGCAGCAGCAGCAGGAGGCCCCATTAGCTAAAGTGGTGCTTCAGGTTAAGAACAGTTTCAGGTTAAGAACAGACCTCCAGAACGAATCAAGTACTTAACCTGAGGTACCACTGTACTTTTGATTTAATTCCTAAAGTGTATTTAATTGGACAGAGGCTAGCAAGGGTTAAGAGCCTGCCAGAGAGTTGAAACAGGAGCCAGTGGGAGGTGCATCTGAGTGTTTGTGAATGTGTGGTGTATATCCATGGTCACATGATATCCCTCATTTCCTCTCTCTCTCTTTCTTTCCACATAGCAAAACAGCTGCTGGCTTTTGCATACGGACAGAGGTGCTTTTCCAGAGAAATTGAGCTGAGACCAGGCCGGCAAGCAGGAATGTGGTGAGAGCCAGGATTCCTGGGTTCCATGAGCTTGGAATGGGGTTCGGAGCAGGATGTGAAGAATCGGAAGATCCATTCATGGCAGCTCAGGGGTGAGGATCCTCCCCGAGTTTTAACCTCACTGGAATGTGCCCTTGAACTCTGCTTAATACCTCTTTCTTGCATGTGAGGCTGCTGCACAGAGAGAGAAGTGTGTGCAGAAACCAGCTAGCCAGATACATTCTGCCCCTTTCCATCTCTGGCTCTGCTCACATTTACCTCTCCACCTTATACATGTGGAAGGTTGCAGGGAAGGCGATATAATCCTCTGTGTGGAAAAGGTCTCTCACCTGCGAGCTCTGGGAGCGGAAAGAATAGGAATCCCGATCTACCTCCTCATCCTTCCTCATCTACTTCCTGAGTCCAGTCCAGAATGGACATTGGACATTACCTGCAACGGATCGGGTACCAGGGCCCCACGCAGCCTTCTCTGGAGACCTTGCGCAGCCTCCACCGGTGCCACCTCCTCTCCGTGCCCTTCGGGAGCCTCAGTATCCATTCCGGGGAGCCCATCGTCCTGGAAGTGTCCTCCCTCTACAACAAGATCGTCCGGCAGCATCGGGGCGGCTTCTGTTTTGAGTTGAATGGCCTCTTCCTGTGGCTGCTGCAGGCATTGGGATTTGATGCCAAAGCTGCGGCCGGGCGTGTCCTGGAACCGTTTCACCGGCTGCTATGGCCCCCCGTTGGACCACATGGTGATTTTGGTGCAGCTGGGTGGGCGCCAGCTGCTCTGCGACGTGGGCTTTGGTGAAGGTTTCACGGAGCCATTAGAGCTGAAGGCCTCTGTGGAGCAGGTCCAGGAAGGTGGCATTTTTTGGCTGGGCCTCCAAGGGGGCGTCTGGGTGCTGGAACGCCGAGAAGTCTCTGGGAAGGAGGGGAGGCCCTTATATCAGTTCACCCTCGAGGAGAAGAAATTGGACGATTTTACGGGCATGTGTCTGTATCACCAGACTTCACCCAGCTCCATATTCGTTTGCAAATCCTTCTGCTCCCTGCAGAAAGAAAATGGCGGGCGCCTCACCTACATGGGTTGGCGTCTCATTTCCAAGAAGGGAGAGGAGCGTACAGAGACCACCCTGCAGAGCAACGAGATCCCAGTGGTGCTCCGTGAGAAATTTGGGATCAATCTGAGCGGGGACTTCAAGCCAAAGGATGAAGAAATCCTGCCACCTCTTGAGGAAGGTTAATGAGGGATGGTGGAAATTGCTCCCAATTCAGATAATAGCCTAAAAGATGGTTTGTAAATAATTTCTCAGGGTGTAGCTCCTAGCCATTGGTTAAGTGCCGTGATGTCATGGAAGCATCACAAACATTCTAATCTCCAAAGAAAGGGGAAATTTCATTTGTTTGCTCCAATCCCGAATCTGTCTGTTAACTTCCACACTCTTGCTATTTTGCAAATGCAGTGAAATAAAAAAATTAAGGTCTTATATATATAATAAATGTTCATAGATGTATCAACAAACACGTACATAAATATATAAACCACATGTCTGAAGCAGCACAGGAAAATGGAAAAGCCTCCCCATTGTCTTTTCATTCACAAATCCTCTCTTAAGGGTATGTCTGTGTATGAATAGGGTGAGCCTGTGACCTGGCTCAGGAACTAAGTATTTATCATTACAAAAGACTGGCCAGGCTCCCCAGGGTATCCAATCAAGTAAGCATTAACAGGTAACCTGCCAGACAGCTTAACAGTTTGTTGTAGACTGCCCTTTCTGTGATGTAGGTATGATGTGTCAGGGGGGTGGTCTTAAGCTACACCCCTTCTGTGATGTATGTATGATGTTTCTGGGGGTGGTCTTGTACTCCAGGGTGGGCAATTTAAAATGTCTATATAAGGGCGGGCACACCTTGGTTCTGGGTCCTCCTCCTTCACCTGCGTGTGAAGGGGACACCCTGTTGCAACAGTTCAATAAAGATCAGGTTTACTATCTGCTTTGCTTCTCCGTATTCTCTGGTTGGCCTCTGTTATTTTCTCCGACCGATGGAGAACCTGCAAAAGACTCTATAAGGGCTCTTGTGTCCCCCATAAGGGAATAAGGGCCGATTTACATTTATTACAACAGGTAGTGCAGTTTGGAGTTCTTGCACAACAAACATGCTTCCCATGACCTTTAGCCAAAAGAGGCTCGTAGAGCTGCTTATAAAAATCAGCTTTAAGATGGTCTCTGCCCTCAGGCTCACAGTCTCAAAATACAGTGGTGCCTCGCAAGACGAAATTAATCCGTTCCGCGAGTCTCTTCGTCTTGCGGTCTTTTCGTCTTGCAAAGCACGGCTATTAGCAGCTTAGCGGCTATTAGCGGCTTAGCGGCTATTAGCGGCTTAGCGGCTTTAAGAAAAAGGAAACAAACTCGCAAGAACTCGCAAGACGTTTCGTTTTGCGAAGCAAGCCCATAGGGAAATTCGTCTTGCGGAACGACTCAAAAAACGGAGAACCCTTTCGTCTAGTGAGTTTTTCGTCTTGCGGGGCATTCGTCTTGCGGGGCACCACTGTACCGTGCATGACACCCGGGAAAAAAGCAGTGGGAGGGAGAAAGCAAACTCGATCACAAGTTTTCAAAGCTGCAACCAACACCAGTGGCAGTTCTGGCTGATTCCCCTTGGTAAAGAATATTTTCTCCTCAAAAATATTCTTCCCTGCCCTAGAGCTCAGCAGGCAACAACATCCAGAACAGGGCAGTTGTTGCCACACACAGTTCTTCCCTCAGACAACTAACTTGATGATAGAATCCTTACAGGTGGGAGATTGGTGGGTCACCCCTCTCTTTTGCCGTGACCCTGCAAAGTTGGCCTGGCTGAGAGACCCTGGCTGGCCCAAGTTTAACCAGAGAGTTGCGTGACTGAGTGGCGAGTTGGACTTGCGCCTCCTCTTGGTCATAATCTGAAACTATCCATTTCCCTGCATTAGAAATTTGTATGTTCCATTTATAGATTGTTCGTATGCCTCTTAACACACTCTGTTATGTACTGAAGTTATCACCCTGGGCCAGCAGGGGGATACTGTAGATAGTTTTCACTCAGGTTCACATATGCAAATAGGGATTGAAAGCGACATTCAATGATTGGATAGTTACAGAAAGTGGTTACAGTTGTGTTGTAGTGGAGCTCTATATAAGCAGGCTGGCTGACCCTTCAGTTCAGTTCTGTTCTGGCCTGTGAATAAACAAGAGCTGTTTGAAGCATCGCTGTGTCGTCTGATATGTTCACCCACAACTTAACACACTCCTAGGCAAAGGTTGGGGTTCCAATAGAAACCGGAGAGATTTGCTGCATCAGCCCCAGACCAGCAGGTCCCCACTGAAGACCAACAAGGCTCATGGATGGGAGGGACGAGATTGAGGGTTTTTTAAAAAAACCACACACACCCAGAGTCACAACAGACCAGCTCTGTGCAAAACTCTGATAGCAACCCTCTGGCATATGAATGAAGCAGATAAGGAGGTCCACCTTATTCTCAAGAAAATTGGGTGGTGAGGGAAGGGAGAATCTTGGAGCCAGCCTATGGGGAGTCACCACTTCGTAGTTGGTGGAGTTGGGGAGGGAAGAATGAGTGACGATCAGTGGGAGACAAATGCTGAGGTCTCTTTGAGTTCATGCATAGAGGGGCTTCGGGAGGCGGGGTCACGTGAGAGGGGAGGAGCCAAAGCTCTTAGAAATAAACAAGCCTTTTTGACTTGCATTAACCCAGAATTTCTCCTGCCTGCAACTCGCCTGGCGTAAGAGCTGTGAGCATATGGAATGGAGGGAAAGGGGATGGAATATAGAAAAGGAAGGGGAGGTGGGGGTGGGGGTGTTATAGAATATACTGAATAATTGTCAAACGGGTGGGGCTAGGATTGCATAGGGTTTGCCGCTAGGAGGTTGCCTGTGTTTTAAACAATTACATGCCAGGCAGAAACTGAACAGGTGATGTTTTCCCCAACCACTTTGTCTTCAAATGCTGCACCTGTTAAATTTCTGCCTTGCACTGGAGGCACACAGAACCCCTGCCACGGGGGGGGGGGGGAATGGTTTTCCTGGGAATGAGGACACTCAGCCCTTTATTGGCAAAATAAAATATGCATTGTCCTCAATAGAGGTGTTTAATTCATGCCAACTATGAATCTGTGGCAGGAAAGTGTGGCTGTTAAGTACCTAGTGGGCACTGTATTGGTCTGCAAAGAAATGGAGGTGGGCAAAATCTTTCTATTGGACTGTCTTAACTGAGGTAGGAATATGCAGGCCTCCTGGTTTCACAGAACTCTTCATTGCACAGAAGGGAAAGGTGGATATTTCAAATGCATATTGGGCAAACTAGATTAGAAAGGCAACGGATCTGCCGGCTTGCTGTTAATGGGAATTTTGCAACACACACCAAACCTGGAGGTGGTTGCTCATTGCGCCATCCAATATGCAAATAAATTGTTGGTTTATTGGGTGATGAATTTGCTCACGTCGTGTGAAAGTCTGGTGCAGTTTGGGTCTTTTGTAACAGGAGGACTGTGTGTGAGAGGGAGGAGCACAATCTTAGACGGTAGCTCAATGGTGGAGTGCTGGCCTTTTATGTCTAAGGTCCCGGGTTCAATCCCTGCCATCTCCAGGAAGGGGAGACTTCCTGTCTGAAACCCTGGAGGGCCCCTGCCTGTCAGAGTAGACAGCACTGTGGGCCAATTGTAGAAGTTATGTTGGAATAGATTAAATCAAGACAGAGAGAGGTGTACGTTTCCAAGCACAATTCAAAGTGTTGGTGCTGACCTTAATGCCCTAAATGGCCTTGGCCCAGTATACCTGAAGGAGCATCCTCCACCCCCATCGTTCAGCCCAGACACTGAGGTCCAGCTCCGAGGGCCTTCTGGTGGTTCCCTCCCTGCGAGACGTGAGGTTACAGGGAACCAAGAAGAGGGCCTTCCTGGTAATGGCGCCCACCCTGTGGAACGCCCTCCCATCAGATTGACAAGGAAATAAACAACTATCTAACTTTTAGAAGAAATCTGAAGGCAGTCCTGTTTAGGGAAGTTTTTAATGTCTGATGTATTGTCGTTGTTGTTGTTATTGTTATTATTATTATCATCATCATTAATTCTGTTGGGAGCCACAGTGGGGTGGGGTATAAATTATTATTATTATTATTATTATTATTATTATTATTATCTAAAAATGAAGTCACTTCCTTTCTCATTCTCTACCCGTTTCTCCTTCTCTGCCCCCTGAAGGTCTTGACTGCAATGGTTCTGCAGAAGGAAGTCCCCAAAGTCCACATTTTCAGCACCAGGGCAGGAGATGTGATTCTTCGCCCTGATCTGAACTGCTACCTGCTCCTTTCCGGTTTGCCGACCTCGCCCTGCGCTGAGCTCTGGCCCTTGCACCCTTCCCTGCGTGGCAGCGAACACTATTTCAGCTCCCGTTGGCACAACACCATCTATGTCATCCGGGATAACAAACTCCTGGAAACCCCAAACCTTCACACCGAGCCCAGCAGAGAGCCCCATCGCCTGCACCCCAGCTGCTGCGCTGGGCAACATTATTTCATTGTTTCTGGTGGCTCCTTTGGCATAATCTTAAGCCCGGGCACCATGACGGCAGTCAAGGACTTGACCACAGGGGAACCAGATCCAGACACACAGCCAGGACACCATCAGTGGTCCAACGAGAAGATGGGAAGCCATCGCAGTTACCTCTACTGGCAGCTGTGGGATAACTTCAGCGGAGAAGTCTTTTCTTTCCACCCCAGCGTCCTCAACTTCTTGCCGGGAGGTCTCGGCCTCAGCAAAGGGGACGCATTCAAGGCCTGGGAACTGCTGAACATTTTCCACAACTACTCCAACATCCCTGTCTCCAGGTTACAGGAAGTGTCCCGGAAAGTGGGCTGCGCCACAGAAAAGCTGGCTGACGTCGGGCGCGGCTGGGTGGCAGCGGCCCTGCCAGATTCTCCTGAGCCAGGCTCCGTTGCCGTGGCACTGGCGAAGGCCCAGTTTGCGTTACCGACCGAATATGGTGGTGTGGGCCTGAATACAGAGCAGGAGGAATGGGGGGAAGCCCGTGAGGTGGAGACAACCCTGAATTTCACACTACAGCCTGAAGATGTTGCCTATGTGTGGCAGTATCAGCTGGGGCTAGGGAAGGAGGTCATCTTGTTTTGCAGGGATCTTGAGGTCACTCTTGGCTGCGACCCACCGACTAAGGTCCCCCTGCCTTCATCATCCTAAATAACAGCTGGCTCCATCTCCCCATTGCTTTCCACCCTTTCCCCCTTAGATGTATTTCTGTACACTACCAACTGATAAATGCTGAAATAAATAATCAAACCAGGCATGGGGGAACCTGTGGCCTTCACAATGTTAGTAGATACCAAATCCCATCAACCCCAGCCAGTGGTCAAGATTGATGGGTGTTGCAGTCCAGCAGCATCTAGAAGGCTAAAGGTTCCTCATCCCTGATTGGAAAGAATTCCTGGGGATGCTGTGTGTGTGTGTGTGTGTGTGTGTGTGTGTGTATACAAAAGCTTAAT